AAAAAAAAAAAAAAAAACATCGTGGAATTCCTTTAAAAAAGAGGAAATGGTTCACTCCAGTAGAAGAGCGGTGGAATTCCCACGGCCTTTTATCTAGTCATTGAGGTATACTTTAGGAGATTCGAAGTCGCCATTTTACATCCTCATTTTCCGCTGTAAAATACTGATGCGGGGAGGTCAGTGCGCAAGGGCCACGTCCCAGGTTCGGGACGGTTTCCTCGACCCCTGGACCTGTCTTTAGTCGGCACATGAGAATGCAGGCTGTTTAGTCTAATTCTACATCTTCAGTTTCAGTCACCAATCTCATCTCGGCTTAACATAAATTAGGCACTCTTTATCGTTCATACCTAGGGGCTTTAATCTGACTCGAGCCTGCGTTTGAAATTAAGGTTCCTCCTAGCTGGGTTAAAGGCTTATACCTCCATCCGCCGGGCGGGTAATAAGTCACACAAGCGCAGGTCTTAAATGTCAGGCAGCCGTTTCCGCCAGGCAAATTATCGAACCAGGTTATACAGAAATGCACCTGATAGGCCCGCCCCGTCCGTTCCGGTTCCAGGGGGCGCCGGCCGCCAGGCCGCCGGGCGCGGGTCCCGGCATGCGCAGTAGCGACCTGTGGCCGGCCGAGGGCCCCTTTGCGCCGGCGGGATCCCGGCGTGGCGTGTTCGAATCCTGGCTCTGCCACCTCGTGCTGGGTGCCCCGGGCCGTCGGCTTCTCTTCTCGGTGCCTCCTCTCGACCCCACTTCATCAGGCTGTTGTGAGGAATGAGTTAACAGATCCAGTGCACTTAGTACGTACCAGGAGTTAACTGTTAGTTCATTCGTGTAGGTTAGTGTACCTTCCACATGCCACCACTGGTCCCTGGTTGCCTTAGCCCAGCCGTTCTCAAACGGGGCAGATCTGTCCTCCTCCCTCTCCCAGGATCATGTGTCCAGGTCTGGAGACATTGCTGTTTGTCAAGACTAAGGGAGTGTTACTGGTATCTGGTAGCAGAAACCCGGGATGCTGCCCAGGACGCGCCCCACCAGGAAGAATTATCCAGCCTGATGACAACAGTGCCCGCCGAGGCTGAGAAACCAGCCTTTGCCTCAGCATTAAGGACAGGGACCTGGGTTCAAATCCTGCTCTGCCATTGGCAAGCTGTGTGACACTGGGGAAGTGATTCCACACCCCGTGCCTCAGTTTCCCCATCTTTAGATTGTGTATAATAACAATGCCCACTCTGAGGGTGTTGTGAGCATTGAGTTGACACATGTACAGTGCATGCAACAGGGCCTGACATAAGGACTGTTGTCATATTAGTATATCACAGCTGTGCCTTTAGCATATGGCCAGCCAATGGGATGTCCTTAACATATTAGTGGATGGTACATTGCTGGCATGTCAGCCAGGTGTCACTAATCTGGCCTTGACATACGTGGCAGGCTGTGGGCATGTCACCCTGTGGTCCGGGGGTGAGATCTGGCTAGCTGAGGCTGCTTGCAGGTATTCCCTCCAGGTCATCTTGGCTGGGACAGGGATGTATGGGGATGTCCATGGCCGGAAACCTGCTAACACATTCAACCCACAGGTAGATGGGGAGGGTGAGATCCAGGATCTTGCTCCCCCCAGGGTCTTATGAGGGCCCCCAGAACGGCAGAGGTGGGCTGCCAGATTCTCAGCAGAAAGGACTGCT